TATCTTTTAGTGCATCTTCAGCACTTCATGTGGAATGGCATTGCATCATTTCAATCAAATTATAGGCAAACCACACTCAGTTTTCATCCCTAAAACTTGCTTAGCTAAGTCCATTTTCTGCCGCAGTAAATATCACAGCATCTTCTCTACTCAGTCTCACCAACCTGAAGTAATTTTTAAATCTTGCTATAAAATTAATCAGAGAAAAAATCCTATAATCTCTTCCATCACTGAAATGTTCCCTTTCTGAGGACAGAAGCTTTCATCCTACACTGCATTCCTTATCTGAGTTAGATCCTCTTTTCTGGTCACCCTGATCCCACCTGGAATTGGCTTACAAAACCCGCTAACAGGATTGGTAAAAAAGTTTGTGCCTTCTTCSGTCCTTTTTGTCAAATGCTCGAAGTTCCTTCAGCATTACCAAACCGCTGCTATGGGGAAAAGGGAGAACATCCAGGAACATCCAGAGAAATCCTCTGTGGCCATGCACAACAACAGAAACAGATATTCTGTGTGCTGCCCAATTAGAGTAAGAAATAGAAKAATATTACACAAGACAAGCTGTGCACTGGAGAAAACTGCAGGTACAAAACAATGTAACACAAATTATTCCATCTCTTGTAATAAACACATTTACCTTCATAAACAGCTTTGTGCTTTATTCTGTGGGACCCAAAGCAATAAGAACCCTTGTTGTGATCAACARCAGGCCCCTGTACACAGAGGCCATTTAAAAATCTCTCTCAGCAGTTTCATCYTTCCTGTTCCCTGCCAGCTTTTTCCTGTGTATCACAACAAGCTGCAAATTTGCACTTCTGGGGGATTGTTTCTACTTTATAGRCTCTGCATCTGTCACCCATTTTCATCTAAAAATATTCCCTTCAGAGGCCTCCTTGCATGCAGTTCCTCTGGAACTTTGAGCACATTTCCATCTATTTCCCTCTACAAGAAAGGAGGACAGGAAAAGGAGGCAATTTTCAGCATCATCCAGTTGCAATGGTTTCAAATCCATCTCTGGCTCTTCATGCTAGCYGGTGATGTATGCTTCACTGCAGTCTCCAGGGATTTCAGAAGCACAGCTAAACTTATCCTCAACATTTCTCATTATTTTCAGGAAAAACCCAACATGACTTTTATGCAAAGAAGAGTTATGACTAAATTAAGCAGCTTGGCCAACAGCTATTGCTGAAGTTTCTGATGGAGACAGAAAATGAAATGGAAGAAAAGCAACGTCCAAACAAATGCACTTAGAACCTTAATTCAGACTTGTTAACTAAAAAGATGTGCATTTCAGATATTAATTATTTGTTTTGAAAAACAGGGGTGAGCCTTCATAGAAGCAGAATTCTGTTTGTAGCCACTGACACAGCTCACAACAGCCCCCACGAGCAGCCTCTGATCCCAGCAGGGATTTAGGAATCCTGGGAAGATTTGTAACATGAGGGGAAAGTGAGAGTCACACAAATTTCTTAGAAACTGAGGATCTCCCACCTAGGAAACAGCTCATTATCAAAYATAAACCATAATTAAATACATCAWGCTGCCTCTTTAAACTGAAAATGTCCATCAAATCTGCATCATAGAAAATCTGTATTATAAAGGATAAATCACAAACCAGACATGAYAGGAAACTGCTGAGTCTGAATACGTTATCTTACAGTTATTACAGCTATCACAGAATCAGAATATTTTGGGTTGAAAKGGATCTTAACGGTCACCTTGTTCCAAYCCTCTGCCATGGAGTGAATTGGGAAATTTAAAGTGTGGATGCTCAGAAGTAGAAGGCAAATTACACTAATCCTCTTCCTGTTGAAAGCCCCCACAAAAAAAAACAAAAAACAAACCTTTTATCTAATGACTTGGTTTATTGAAGAAAATCTGTTCAAATATTTAGTTTCAAGAAGTGCTGGTTTTAAAACATGCATAAGAGAAAACCAGAATTCTAGAAATACATGTCACACTTTTATGGATAAGGAAAAATATTTCTATTTTAAGCAAACTTGTCAAATGRAAAGTTAAGGTGTCCAACTGAAGCTGAAGGAGCTTGAAAACCATGTCAAATATGTAACTTTTGGCACAAACTGCAGAACCACCACTCTCACACATCTGCACTCTTCCAAAATCCCCACTTGTCCTTTGCTCCACAGTTTTTCACTCCATGCAATTCCCTGTAATCTCCATTTATCCTTACCAGCTGCACTTCTCTGCCCRCAGCTTCAACCATTAAACTGAAATATGAACCAAAAAAAAAAAAAAAAGTTTGACTCTCTTGAAGAAATTGGGATGGCAGAGGTAGGAAAGATAGGAGAATAATTATATAAAAAAATACCTATAGCTATGTGTTGTAGGACTGCCTGGTAGTCTAAGTGAGCTGTGCGTACAATTCCAAGAACACAAACCCACAATCCCCAGGTTGGAAAAACAGTTCCACTCCTGTTTGAGGGGACAGGCTTTGCACCTGAGTGTTTTCTAGGCAATTCACTTATTACATCCTGGGATACAATTACACTGGAGCAAGGATAAGTTCACACTGAAGTGTAACTACCGCCATTCAGAAAAACATGTGCAAAGCACACAGAGACCTTAAAAATCAAGAATTTCTTGAAATTATCAGGCAAGCCTAAAAGAAACAATATAACAACATCAGTCAGATTAATATAACTCAAAAGACTGAAAAGAAGAGCATGAAATGTGCACCATTTAAAAGAACATGAACGATCCAGCAGCTCATGGGGCACTTATTCAACGAACCCACAGAGTTCATCAAACAAAGCAGCCAAGGCACAGGGCACTGCCTCGGGATGGTGGGCAGCTGCCCAGGGAAGGGATGGGGAGGGAAAGGATGCAGAGCTGGGTGAGAGGACATAGAGCCATGGATCATTAAACCCCAGTAAATTTCTTCTACTAAAACTGTTACTACAAGACATAAATTTATGACTGATTGAATCTTTTTTCTTGCAAGTGACATAAGTTAAATTAATACATTGAAAGCATTTCTATGAAATGGATCCTTAGAATTTTTCATACTTCAATGTGAAATAATGTCAATTATTCAATGTGAAATAATGAGCAAAACAAGACCTTTAAATGGCTGTGCCAGGAAAGAATGAGGAATTAGATGTTGGGCAGGGGAAAATGTTATTTAAACTTAGTAATTGGCAATGTTGCACTGATTTGTTAACTCAARCACAGACACCTATAACTCTTTGAAATTCACTAGTCTGGGTTTTCAATCCAAATATTTGAACATTCCTAGCTATATATTTTTTTTTCTTTCAGCTTGATTTAATATAAACAACAGCACCAATATGTTCATTATAATTCATATTAAACCCAGAGTATGGAATGCCAAGGTAGCAAAAAACCAACAGAGTTAAAAAAGCAATTTGCAAATTAAGAATGCAGGAATGTAGCTCACATGCCTCTACAGCCAAAGGAGAGAGCTCTCMTAAAATCCTTAAGGGCTTTTAACTTTTATTTAAAACACAAAGGATTAGCTTTCTAAAGCTTCTTTCGGAATTTAATTGGGCAAGTATAACTTTTAAAGTAGTCCATCTGCCTGAAGCACAGCAGCTGTGATGGGGAGAATGCTACTGCAATATTTGGATAAATTCTCAAACAAAACTGAAGAGTCTCTGGTAATTAGTGGATGATATGAGAACTCAGAGCTTGGCACTGGAATGTTATTTGCAGGAACTGTTGGATTTGTTTACTCTGATCCTTGTTTCCAGTGCACAATCAGTGCAGTGATTTCCATGGTTTCATGCATATCACAAAAGTAAAATTTGGAATTAATTCACATATTTATTTCCTCAATGTCTTTTGTGACATTTCTCTCTGCAGTGAAATAATCYAACACTCATTTTCTTCTAAAACCTTATGATAGAGTAATATCACATTATTACTTTGCTTAAATTATATTACAGTGCCTAAATGTTACATGATGCTACATAAYAGTTTGCTATATTCTGTAACAAGATCTTTCCCACAGCACCTATCTCATCATTTATTATAAATTAAATACGATAAAATCTGTGCAATGCTTAAATAAAGGGTTCTGAGCTAATGGAAGTAGTGAGGATAATGAAGTGACCAGTGAATTAACAGGGAGTAGGATTAATTGTAAATTACCTCTATGCTGGGAATTCAGCTGCAACCTTAAAAAATCACTAAAAGTAAATGATGTTGGTTTATTAAAAATCCCATAGAATATTTCTAAGATTTTGCATAAATCCCTCCTGCAGCACCTACTCACTGCAGATACAGAACCTGGGCTCAGACTATTCTGGAATATTTGGGATAGGAGAATTCACTTTGTAATGATCATTGTGAATGTGTCATTGGCCTAACTGATTTTCAGAAATRTAAGATTTAGTGGCCATTCAATCTGGTTGGTGTCTGGACAAACGTAGCAAACCACAGCAATACAGGCCAGTGTCCTGCCTGCAAACTGAGTGTACTCAGGCTTTGTACTGACAAGGCTTGAGAAAGGGATTTCACCCCCCCAGAAAAGGCTGAACCTTCAGAAACGACACTGGAAAATAAATTTATTTTTCCTGGACCAAGCGTCGTACTCAAATCTGAACACTTTAAAGTGAATAATAAAAGGAAAATTTTAAAAATCTGAGTTTTTTCAAACTTGGACTAACCTCCAAATCAGAAACTCAATGTTTGCATTATTCAGTTTTGGATATTTCATCCATAACAGGATCTAATAGCCATTTTCAGATCTGACTATTGAAGTTTTAAGATCTGCATTTGGGACCAAATGCAGGCCTATGATATTTTGTATCTGTTGTATGTAAAAACATATTCATTTCATTTGATATGAAAAAACCTCTGGGCACTCCAGAATTATAAAACACTTTTCAGTTTGTATACAAGTATCACATTGCCAAAGTTACAGAACCAGGGACGATGGAAAGTTACTGGGAGACAGCAGAAGAAAATGACAGTTTTGCCAGTTTGTTCAGCTACAACTGTTGTCTTTTTATTTTCAGGAAACATTTTCTGCTATTSTTCTTCTGCTGGCTATTCAGCCTGGACCGCTCTCCTATTTACAGAACTGAACCAACCACTTGGATATGATCTGCCTTGTGTTTGCAACAACTTCAGTAACAACCACACATCAGTAATTCTCTCATTGAAACCCTCTGGATGCTCTATTTTTCCCTGGTCAGAAGTGGTTACATTTTGCTTACCTATTTGGGAAGATTATTTTCAATTGGAACATTAAAAAGATGGCTGAGGAAGAAAAACTATCTTTAAGGAAAGCAATTCAGTTTGGTATTAATGGATATATTCTGTCAGTAAAACTATGCATCAGAAATGAAAATGCCCCCCAAAGGTATTATGCTTGTTGTTTAGACAACATGCAAATAAAACATATGTGATTGGTCCATCAGAACAAAAAGCTGAATTCCTAATGGAGAGCTGCTGTCAAATAAGAAGCACCAGGAAAGCCATAGACTCAWCCTTACCTTTAAATTAGTTCAATGTAACATCCTGCTGCAATTTTGTATTACAAAGACCATGTTAGCAGCAGACAAAAGAATTTCTGCATTCCCAAGCTACAAGAAATCTTTCCTTAAATTTTGTATTTAATTTATCTTAGTTTTTGGTCWAATCAGCAATTAAATTTGAAAGAAGATCCCTAAACAGAACACACCAGTTGAAAATAAACATAATAAGGAGAAGAATGATAAGCTCCAAGAGTGAGGCRTTAATTTGTATCTTAGGAACAATATTAAAATACAGGTCAAATGACAAATGAAATGGGTCGCAAAGAAACACGTTACTTACAGACTTTAAATTGTGATTCAATGGCCCAGCAAAACATGAAAATGCGGCCAGTGCTCCTGAAAAGGAACAGCCTGGACTCGGCGGATTTTATGAGACACCCCCAGCACCGCAGGACCAAATCCCAGCAAGTTCGGTTCAAGGATGATGGKGTCAGCACCAAGACAGAGCTGGATGCTAATCCTGCCCGAGACACGGCACTCACAACTGGAAAAACAGAAATATTTAGGGATCACAATTTTTTGCTAACTCRATCTCCAACTTTTCCAAGGGCTCAGAAGGGGCTTCGGAATATTGCCATACAAACTTCTCCCAGCCTCAGGAAACACTTCCCGGTTTTTAAAAGGAAGAAGCTGACAGTAAGCAAATCACTGACAGAAATGCCAGCAGAGCCTGCAAACTCTATCCAGGTAAATGGCAACCTTTGTGAACCAGACATTCTGTCTTCAGAACTCTGTTATTTAAGAATAAATAATCACTTGGAGGATGGATGCAGGAACAGTGAGACAGGCTTGGGTCAAAGACCATCCAAAGCACAAAGCAATGGACCGAGGTACTCGGATGATTTCTCAGTGTCAGACAAGACAACCGCGTCTACACAGGTGCCTGAATACATTCATGTGAGTTTTCCACRAGACAGAAACGTTTCCCTGGATGCACCAGACACAACCACAGTGTCACGTAATTCACTGCATTCTTCTACTGCCATCAACAGCAACGAAAGTCATGAAAACAGCACGCTGTCATCTGATTCTGAAAGGGCAGAGCCTTGCCTAGGCAATTCTACGAACTGCAGTGAATGCAATCCCCACTCGGCTGCTCGTGAAGAGGAGAAGGGGGATTCTGAGCCGCCTGTAGCCAGCAGAGATGCCAGCAGTAAGGAAACAACTCCATTGTCACCTCCATCAAATCACAGCTCATCTCCTTGTTTCCTCAGAGACTGTCAGCAGGCAGGAGAGCACAAGCCAGATTCCAGCTGTGTGACGCTACCGAGTGACGAGCACCCAGCAGTGTCACCAACCAGCAGCAATGCATCAAAACCATGTCTGTCGTGTAACACTGAAATGGAGAAGAATTCCACCCAGTCAGATGTTTCCCAGTGTAACAGCTGTTTAGAGGGATTTCACATAAAGTCTGATCCACCAAGGAATGAAACAAACCCGCAAAGCAACAAAGAGATTAGCGAAATAAATCAAATTCACTTGGCACATGGCGAACTCTGTGCCCTACAAGGCAGGCTGCAGTCTGTAGAGGAATCCTTGCAGTCGAACCAGGAGAAGATTAAAGTCCTTTTGAATGTAATCCAAGACCTGGAAAAATCCAGAGCCCTCAGTGAAGGGTATGGTTCGTTTTTAATATTAGTAATTCATCAGAAGTGTAAAGTAGATGTTAGCATTCTTTTAACCTTTGCTACTGARAAACACAGCTTGTCTGATATTTAAAGATGAGTCTGCAAAATACATCATACTCTTTCTGTGGTGTTTGGGCCTCAGCAGAGAAGCAAGTCCCTTCATGTTTTGGCTTTAGCTGACACTGCCTTTACTAAATCCAGTGCAAGACCCAGCTTAACAACTCCCGTTTTGATTTAGGGTGCTCAAACCATGCCAAGGTCAGATACACACAGGGTGCCAAACTTGCAGATTAGAGCCAAGGATTGAGTATGTGAAGGCTGTCAGCAAGAAMYCACTTCAGACCTCAGATTTCAGARGGGCTCCCTTCTGCACCCCCATAARAATGCATGACCTGTGTTTATTGTCAGTGTGGTGACACAGGGATAGTGAGCCAAGGATGCCAGCAGTATTCATGCCACTTATTATGCATTATAAAAAACAAACAAACAAAAAAAACCCCATAAATGCAACTAACATCTAACAATTGGACAAAGATAAAATAGAGATTTACATATTTCTGTGCTCAAAACAGGTTTCAGAATGTCCTAACAGAGCTCTCCAAACTATGAACAGCATCTCTTACTTGTAGGAATTGCATCTAGGATACACTTTTAAGTTGTTTTGTTGTAAAGTAGTATATTCTTCAATCAATTTATCTTTGAAAAGCTCAGAAATAAGGGAATAAAATCTATTTTGCAGATTTTTTTTCCCTTTTCACAGGTATTTTAGCTGGCATTAACTTATTCTGTTGAATAACAGAAGTTAATAATTGGAATTAATTTATTTCTGTTGAATAACTCTCCAACTCAAAACCCAAATAAGAATTTACACTCATTACAAATTTAAAATACTATGAATCAGGTTAGCATGTGATTTGGCTTCACACAGATTTCCTGTTTTTATCTGAAACATTAGCCATTAATGTCCATCTGGCTGTTAGCATGAAAATGYTTTCATTAGCTTCCACTGTGCCCACATAAATTCTTATTCTATAGAAMATTTTCCCCATACAATTCAGCTCCAGCTACCCTCCCTCAGAGGGTTGTTGCATATGATTTTCTAGCACCAAGTTTTAATAGCCTAAACACAACAGACAAAATCCTTGYAGAGATACTAACAACAAAAAGGCAAAAAAACATCCATAACACACCAACCCACAAGAGTTCAGGTAAGAAGTAAGATTCGAGGCAGGGATCCAACTATGTCTCAAGCTTAAGCGATCACTTCTCTATTGTCATCTTCATCCAACCACCACCCAACTGTGGTTCCTTAGGAAATGACAGAAAAGAACACCCACTCCTCCYCTGTGTGCAGGGCTGTAAGGGAGACTGCACAAGTCTCGATTATGTTTGCAAATCTGCCCATAGCAAAGACTAATTTGCAATGAAGCACAGTCAGAYTATCCAGCAATATTTATAACCCATTTCTGTTCAGTTAGCACATGTCTGAAGAGAAAAGTTTTGTCAAATATCTGGAAGTGTCACTCTCAGATTCAATGAGAAGCTTCAATCTACCTTGGCAGATTCATCTCACAGTAACACTGACTGYTCCAAGCACTTGTATAGATAGCACAACAATTCACATGAAGAACTCCCACTTTTACTAAAACAATCRGGAAATCATTTTGGTACCAACCGATCTCCCCTAATTCAAATAAAAAGTTGTTAAATATAAGTGTTACGCTTTCTCCGGACATAAGAGTCATCAGCCTCAAGCTGTTTTTGATGCAGATCTCCCCACTATAAAAATATTTCAGCTCTAGTTGGTGTAAAGCATGAAAAGCCAYTTTTCTTGTTTTCTCAACACTCCAAATTTGTAACTCATCAGCAGAAAAAATCTGACTGGGTTGTACTCAAATAAGGAAATATGAAAAGGGAAGGCTGGAAAGTGTAAGGGCAGAGATCAGACTGATTCAGTAAATGYACAGGCTTTCAAATACTTGAAAGTGTGTTTGCTAGAAGCAGTCTCAGGTCTAAGTGTTTTCATAACAAGTATTCATGCAAGAACCAACAACCAGAACCCTTAGCAGCATGAAGTGGGAAAGGTGCAAGACAACATTCACAGGGTTTGAGGTTTTAAAAAGAAAAAGCCTTCCAGCTTAGAATTTGAAACTAGAATTTTCAGTAGCAGTAACAGAAGTGGGGAACAGAATGGCTTTTGTTCAGAAAAGACTCAGAACTCTGTTACTGTCAATAAATTCACCTCCTATGAATTGCTGTGTGTTCCAGGCGTAACTTCTACCACACTGGGCAGGATCTGAACAACTGCAGCACCTGTCAGAACACGGCGTGCATCATTTACAGGTACCTCRCTCCCTCACACCGCTCTGTCCCGCCTGTGCCTCCCTCCATTGCACCAAACAGTGCCTTGCTCTGTAAAATGGCTCAATTAYGACTAAGCCAGTTTTTAAGAAAAGACTAACTGGTTTGCATGAGGTGCTTTGTTTGTCCCCCAAGTAGAAAACAATTCACWGTGGTGCTAGCTGAAAGGAAAGGGGACTTGGGAGCATTCAAAGAGARGCTTTCTACTAAAATTTCACAGTGTTATTAATGGCATGCTTTGAAAATCTGCAATGCCATTTCTGATGATGAAATTCCTCTGTATGCTACATCTTTAAAGCTAAGGTTTCTGTAATAATTTTAGATATTGGAAAAGATAAACTTTCAATTCTCTGAGTGCCAGTGAGCTACAGCTCATGATAATATGCAAGACAAAACCAAAATTCACACAATTTTCACCTCAGCTGTTATTAATTTCAGAGACTGCAATTTGAGTGTAAGCTACTTAATTTAAAGTGCAGTTTATGCTAAACYCTTGTGACCAGAAAGCTTTGCAGGGCTGTGTTCTGGAAGCTGTGCATGTTCCAAGTTCCATGTCTATACAAACACCCTGGAAGAGCTTTCAGCTGCCCAGACATCTACCCCAAATCCAGCAGGTACAAAGTGTTGGTTGTACTGCACAGGGAGCTTGTCCATTCAGCAAGGGATTTTATAAGGCTTCCTCCACTTTATAGAGACATTATCTAACCTCTGCAAGCTCAGTTCTGAGGCAGAAAACCCACATCTTGGGTTTCTTGACTCTAGTTAAAAAAATTAAGGGTAAAGGAATTCCTCTTTTATGTTGAAACATTTTCCTTCATTTTAAAGAATAGGGCAGATTATTATCTTCAATGGTTTGTAATCGCTATAACTTTATATTTTTAAATGAAATGAATAGAAAATACTCACATGAAAGTATTTTTCACACTGCATATTCTGCATGGAGCAAATTAAGTAAAGWGCTTAATAAACTAGACACAGCACTGGAACCTATTGTTCAACATACAACTCAGGCACATACTGATGTCCTAAACCTCTGGTAATGGAATTTCCAAGTAATTAACATGTCCCAAATTAAAAACCACAGCTCCTCTGAGACAAAGCTGGAGGTCCTCTTCGCAGTCCACTGGATATTCTGGGAAGTTACATGACATGTCCAAGAGCACAGACTGTATCCATTTAAAAAAAAAAAAAACCCAAAAAACCACCCACAAAACGATCCAGGACAAAACAGATTTCCTTCACTTGGTCATTGTCCCTGAACAAATGACCAARTGTATTTTATGGGACTAAACTTGAACAGGTTGCTCTCTAGAATTTATATACAGTCTGCCCTTGACCACAGGATGCCTTCTGTCTTCTGAAAAATACCCTGTGTTTTAAAGTTTACATAGTTTTAGTGCAGGAAAGGTCCTGAACAACAGGCRCCATCATTCAAAGGAAAGAACAGAGGAAGTAAGAAAACATTAATGGGTCTTTTTGATTTACCAGGTAGTTTGCARCCATAATGGTGCCTGGAGGCTCACAGTGCAATGATTAATAGAACATGTACAGAACACAGCTGCTCTAAAAAGTTTCTACTTTTAAGGGACAAAGAGGAGACAGTAAGGAAACAATAGCTTTTGATTTACAGAGGTGTTCCACAGGAAGTGGTTATGAAAAAAAGCATTCTAAGTGACTGATATTTGAAGTTCATTAGACAGCATTCTGAAAGAAGTAATTGTTGCCAGTGTTTGCTGTAGACAAACGCGTGCATTTCCTGGGTTTTATGCGGCCTAAAAGGTCCATGCAAGTATTTTTCCCTTAACACAGCATCAGAGCTGTGATTATAAAATCAAGTGTTTTATCTTGTTTCCAGTTTTTCTGCCCTTAAAGAACCGAGTTCATCACTGCTGCAAGCCCTGCACACACCGAGTGCTGTGCTGCTGTCACTGAACCATCTTTATCACACACAGTCCCCAGTCAAACAATGCACTAATCTCACAGAAATCCCCGTGTGGATTACGCTGATCACTAAAGTAATAAAGAGCTTTTCAGCCTAACAGTGACTGTAAATTTGCCTTTATTAACTACCCAGCAGGGATTCCAGGCTTGGGATTTTCCATCTAGATCATGCAATAGAAATGTTGGTATTATAATAAACAAATGCAAGTAGCAACAAAAGCCAGTTATCATGGGCAGTATTAAATGAAAACTGAATTGACCTCTTGCCTCTGGAGATGATATCTCCAACATTAAATTAAAAACTCTGAAGAATGGCAGAAAACAGGAACATGAGCAGATGCTACCCTTACATATTCTATAAAGCCAACATTTCATTCTCTAGCACCGTGGTCTGTGAATATTGAAAGGTATTAAGCTGCAGTTTTAGTAATCAGATGATAAAATGCAAGAGGCACTGATTTTATATCTCTTCCTTCTGCTTTTTTAATATTTGTTGTATATTGTTTCTTGTTCAAGCGATCCTTCTACTCTTCTAAATGAAAATAATCCTCCTGCTTTCTTTTTACCAGTTGAGCTATATTTTTTTTCATGAAAAACTCCAAAAGATATTAATGATAAGGGAAACAGTCTTCTAGGTAATTTAACATACTATTTAATGATGTATATGGATTATATACAAAAATACTCACAATTGAATGTGTTCAAAGATGTGCATATTTACTAACTTTACAGATTTCTTCTGATCAGTGTCAAAATTGGATTCAGTGTCTGGCAGTGACAYCTCAACACCCCTCAGATGATGCTCTTTACCACCCATCAAGGCAAATACAACTGTTCTGCTCTCCCCTGCCTCCTAAAACCTCAAACTTCCTAAAAGAGCAGACACAGCTGGTACAACTCTCTCTCCTGCCCAGAAAAGATGATTGAAATAAAGAAAATACATACAATAGTGCTTAATCCCTTTCCACACTGACTCTTTTGAACCTTACATTTATTTCTATGCACTCATCTGCTCTTCTCTAATTAACATATTGGTTCTTGTTTGACATCAATAATAATTAGGGTTTCATTGGAGGAAATGAGTTTTTCTTTCCTTTTAACTAATACCACTTATCTCAAAGACTTACATACTGGCTGAATTTTGTATATTTTTGTGTCCTAGTGGGAGACATTCACATTTAACAAAGTGAAGCATGTGAGACTTTTCAATTTCAAGCCTATGACTTTTAGATTATGGTATCAAAATCTGACCTTTGAATAAAATGTATTGAAAGGTCATCCTAGTGCATTTTCATTTTGTCTCCCTTAATTTTTGTCCCACAGCTTTGGGCACAATGTTGGAGTTCTTAGCTCATATGAAACAGGAGGTTTTCCTCAAAAAAAAAATTAAATTGAAAGGTGAACTTATTTTCAAAGGAACAACCCCTAAACCCCCTGTCTTTAGCTGAGGCGTTATCATTGAATAATTCCAGGTTATTCTGAGGGGGATGCAGCCTTTCCATCTGTTTTTTAAATGGGGAATTTCTCACTTACTACCATAGATCTCTCAATTTTTTTTTCCATAGTGTAGAATATGACTTCAGACAACAAGAAGGAAGATTTCATCAGATTTTGAAAACACTGGACAATGCAGAGCAAAATCCAGCTTCAGTTTCACCTCAGAAGCCACCACCTGATCCTCCAGCTCCCGAGAAAAAGGAGTTAAGGAGAAAAACAAAAAAGGTGAAAAGAAAATGCTTCTGGTGGATTTGACTTCCTTATTCATCCTTTTACACTTCAAAAGACAATAAAACAGAAAGAGCTTGAGAGCACACACCTGAAAATGTGCTATTATCAAATCACAAAGGTTAAGAATGTTTAATTAGAGTATCTGAAAAATCAAAATAATTGAATTTAGTTAAATCATCTCACTGAATAAAGGTGCATGAAAATGCTATTTTCAAGAAAAGAAATTGTTTCTTTCAAAAGGAAGTTCTCATTTTTTTCCAAGGACACTTTCATATGCTTTGTAAAGACCTTTTTTTCAACTTTCCAAAAATAACAAAGTTTAAATCTCTACTTTAAAAAACAATGGTAGGCAAAGCTAAGCATGCCACACAGCCTTCATTTCCCATTTTAACCAACACAGACTAAAGGAAAAAACATTGAGCTTTGAACAAACCACACCATCAAGAACAAATTCAGGGAAACCGAAGTTGCTCAAAGAAATCTCTCCTCAAAGGAGACAATTGTAATTATTTCACATCCCCACTGAAGTATTTTTGTTGCTGTCATCTAATATTGAACAACAACAAAAAAAAAAAAGAATTTCACGTTAAGTTTTACTCTATCCTTTCATTTATTCATGATCAAAAGGCACCATTTAGAAGTTTCAGCCATTTAATGGACTTCTCTGAAAAGCATTAGAGAGTTGTAAAACAAGAGAAGGTCACAGTAACACTTGTCTTAAACCCCTACTCAAGCAAGGTCCCATTCAGAGAATTTGAGTTGTGAGAATCTCCAAAGACAAGAATCCACATCTCCTSGGCTGTTCCAGGGTTTTTTCCCTAACATCTGATCTCCATTTCCTGCATTCTCATTTGTGTCCTTTACACCCTGCTCTGTCCAAGGACACCTTCAAGAAGCACCACATGGACAATAAACCTCTCTCCTAAGGCTTCACTTCTCAAGGACTGAACAGATCCATTTGTCACTGCCTCTCCTCCCATCTCACATGCTGCAGCCATCCTGCTGCTCTCCCTCCAGCAAGCTGATGTCTTTCACATACCTGGAAGCCTCAAACTGGACACAGTCCCTCAGATGTCATCACACAATTGATGGATAAAGAGGAATAACTATTTTGGCCATTGTCTTACTGGATCACTTGCCCAATCTGTCCATTTAAGACCTTTACTGCTGTACCAAAATATCCCAAGATTTCTTTTTTTTTTTTGCCTTAATATGTAAATTACTATATGATAAAAAATGGAATATGGAAAGAATATTTAGTGAACTGATATGTATTACACAAAAAAAGTTATATATGCTGAAAAGATTTTATCAGATGYCAATGCAGCTACTTCTTTCCTCCCAAAATACTCAAGTTAACATTAGCACAGGGTGTGCCAATGGAACCCAGTTTATGATTGGTGATACTATTATTTTTTTCATTAAAACATGGTCACCTTTCATAGTGGGGGCAGGGGGGAARAGGTTTTCCAAACAGGTTTAGTGGAATGTACTGCAGACCTTTTCTTAGAAGTGGCTCTGATTCAGGGTATTCCATAGATTAACCCCTGCATCTTATTTTTCTAAGTCATCCTGTATTAATTGTGCGATGTTAGTTTTAAATGTCTGTACACTTTTTGTACACTTCTGTGTTCCTTGAATTCCTAGGGTTAATTACACATTTGAAAATACATTAAAAACAATTTTGCACAGAAGAATTTTGTCTGGAAGAACTAATTTTTTCTAAAACAAATCTTTTAGAAGTAAGTAAGCAATACGTCATGGCTTAATTAAACAAAATTCTAAAGGACTGACACTTTAAAAACATTTCCATATTAAGTTCAGTTAATATAGAAATGACACAAAACTGTTGCTATTTTAGGGACTCTTCAGAAGAAAATTAMTTTTTACTAATTTGTCTTTAGATGACTTCAGTGAGACAGAAAAGCTCTTCAATAATAGGYTGTGGTTATAAAAAAGGTAAGAATTGAATTATTACTGCATCAGAACACATCAGTGTATTGCACTAAGTACCTGCACTGCTCATGCTGCTGTGCCAACAACATTCCTGTTGAGCATTAGTCTCTATAAYTGATACAATGAAGGATTTATTGGTGTGGAAGTTATTCTTGTGTATTAAAATAACATTTTAAGACCAATATCCCCTGTGGTAAAGTATAACAATAAGCAATACCAACAGCTGTAACACTAGTAAAACCAGCAAAGTTTTTTTTTTTTTTTTTTTTTTTTTTTTTTTTTTTTTTTTTTTTTTTTTTTTTTTTTTTTTTTTTTTTTTTTTTTTTTTTTTTTTTTTTTTTTCTTTTTTCCTTTCTTTTTCTTGATAAGCACAAAAAAACCCACCTTATTTTAAGCTATCTGATTTTGGGTTTGCCCACATGATGTGTATGATGCCTTCCATCTGTTTTCAAAGGATCCAGATTATTTAATCTAAACAAACCCCAGCACTTTKGTTTACTACATAGCACCAATCAATTCCTGGGGTCAGGGAAACTATGCAAGAACAGAAATACTCCTTTTAGTTTAAGTGAGTCCAACCAAAGGTGGTTGCAAGTAAGGCTCTAAGTCTTTCTCATAACCTGAAGAAACATCAATACTCCTAAAAACGGAAATGCACTGATTTAAGTGCTTACAGGTTTTATATTTTAAYGTCTAAACTTGATGGAATTCAGAACCATAAACAGTTTTTAATCCTCCATCTCCCAGTCAAAATTAGCTTCTCTTTTCCAGATTCCTGAGCTGGTTGTTTGTGAGCTCTCTTTATCAGTAAAGTCTGGATCACCCACATCTGCCCAAGCAATTCACTTTGTAAGCTCTGCACACCCAGAGCAGGAGAGCACTGGAGGTTTCCAGCCCAGCTGACCCTCTGCTCCCTGTGCTGCCATGCAGGAGCATCCAATTGTCTCTCACACTTCCCTCTGCTCAGAGTTCTCAAACTCACCCCCTTCAAGACATCTGTTTTCCTTGAAAGAAAATATGAAATTCCAGTGCTGTGAAAACACTTTCCTTCAATAAGGCCTCAAGGAATTTTTACCCCCAGTCATGCCCGCTGTACTTCACACACAAAGGGATTTCTGCATAAAACTTGAAAAAGAATATTGGAAAATTGTTTTTGTCCCACTAAAAGGTACTGGTGGGGAAGAGTCAGTCGTGGATGCATCAGGCACGGAAAGAGGATGCCCCTGCTTAATTGCTCTTTTGTTCAGATTTTAAAATACACATTTTTTAACATCATAAAATAACTAAAATTTTCATCTTGGCTACATGAAACTATAATATGAAAGCACTGGGATTTGTTTTATTGTTTGATATTTTAAAAATATTTTAGTAATTAATCAGCAGTTCCTATGGTAAATAAAAAAATTACCAGATATCCACTATGCAATTTAGGGTGTCAAGATTGGAAAAGCAAAAGAAATTGGTAGACTGTTGGAAGACAAAGGGATTGGCTACAAAATTTTTTCTGGTTTATAAAATTACTGTCTAATCCCTAAAAAAAGCTCCCAAAGCAGGAAAGAAACATTAGAAATAAAACACACACTTTAATAAAACTGAAAAATAACCCACAAACCCCCCTAAATTGTCAAAGAAACCCCCAACAAAACCCCAAACAAACCACAGCTACTTGACAGCACTTGATTATGAAAATATTGTGGGCTTCTGTGAAATACATAGTTAAATGGCATGTGCTATACATAAAACATTGGACARAATGCAGCATATTCCAAAATTACAGTGTTTGAAATGGTTGTTTTATGGAGTCAAACTAACTTTCTTAAAAAATAAAAATGTRTGAATAAAATACTGATTTCTCTCATGTAACATCACTTCATGTAGGGCTCCTGATGGTTTTGTGCTCTRTAAGAATCCTGCCAGCATAGACAGACACCACCCTCCTAATGACATTTATTCTCTAATGTATGTTTTGTATATTTCTAGGCCCTTTAAATGTGATGTTATCTTTTGCAATAAAATGAGATATTTTTATTAGGTTTCAGGAGTCAATTACTAATAAACAACATTTAGATTACGAAGGAAGGCAAGAGCTGCCCCTTGGAAAAAGAAAAATTAATGGAAAACTAACTGGCATTTCATGGAATTGTTCTGCAGTGTTTCCAGGTAGAGCAAGGATGTCAATTTGAATACCAAACAAAAAAGCTGTAGATTTTAGCTAGACCATGAGTATATTTGAACACATGAAATTCTCCAGCTATGGCAGCTCTGCAAATAGTATCTCTGGTCATGATCTGCTCTAGAGTAGCTTTGCTTAAAGGAGTTCACAGTTTTCTTTTCGGCAAAGTTTTATTTCTACAATACTGTGTATACACATGTTGTCTAAAAACTTCTCCRTGCAGAACAGCTACACTTATTTCATCATGTTAAACTGATACTGTGAGCCAAATCARTTTGGAAGTACTAAAGGAAACCTTTAGGATGTATATGGTGGACTTCAGATATTTCTATTTACCTAACCAAGACAAGACAGTAAGCAAGTATTTCTGTGTTCTACATGGTTTATAAATTTCACTTCTATAATTCCTGGAGCAGGACTTMCCTGCATGACAATTACCTTTAAGTAAAGTGTAAACTTTATGAAGGGTCCAAGGTGAAGCTTGAATACCAATTTCACATGATAAACTTGTCCCTCTTCATGACAAGTGTAGAAGCAGTTCTGCATCTCCAAACAGTCAAGGTTTTGTGGGGTTTTAAGAGTAAAAAGCTGTTTAAAACTTGCAGCTGCTAAAACACCACAATGAAGGCAAGAATGGCATTTAACTAAGTYTTCCCTGCAGGAGCTGCAGAGAGCCAAATTACCTTTCCAGCAGCACCTCCTTCTCCTGGAGAGTTGATTTCTTTCTGAGCCTGACTCTTSTCAGTAATTACAAGAACACAGCTCCCAGCAGGCACTTACCAGCTAAGCCCAAGGCAGAACCCTCCCCTTCCCTTTCCTCTCAACTGGCACTGCAGCAAGAAAAGATCCAGGYAACTGTAAACCCAAATCTCTGCCAACAAGCTAGGAGATTGTGAAAAGAACACCTGACTATGAAAACTAACCTGCTCATCCCTCCAGAAAGAAACAACAAAACCATCAGGCAAATCAAATCTAGTTAYCTTTCAGGTGTAAATCAGTTTAACTCGCAAGTAATTACTGGTCTTGTAAATTGTTTTTATTGGTATAAATCAGTAGTAGCATTGCTTTCCACACCATTTTCAAGTTTTAGAAAACTACGCTGCAGAAGGTAATAAAAATACTGGCAACATTCACAAACACCATAGTAGATTTATGAATCTGAAGAGTAACCTTCTGTCCTCCTGGAGGTTATAGATTCAGCCCCATTTGCAATGTCACTTACATGTGTATGACATCAGCTACACAGCCCAACTGCAGCAATTCCACGCATCCCACCTGCACTTGCAGGGCTCACCTGACTTTCAGCCGCTTGACCTCCCCCAAGCATTCTGCAGTAACTCCTGACTATTCCATTTGGAAAAGATCAAGCAGTCAGGCTTTCAGCAAGTTCGACCCTCTCAAAAGCATTAAAGCAAATCTGGAAATTAATTTGGTGAACTAAAGGGAGCACTCAGAGCATGGAAAAACCTTCTTTTGCCAGTTCTTTCTAAATACAAGCCTTTTTTCATTAAAAACAATTTATTTGCATGTAAAAGGCTATTCTGTTGAGATGTGTTGCCACAGCTATAGAAAATGTAGCAATTTACTGGAATTCTGCTTTGAAAAACCTCTAAAATGCCCAATATACACATATGCATAGGTGCTCATAAAYATAATCAGAAGCAAGAGAACTGCATTTCAAAATTCACCCTGAAYTTGTTCTTTCCAGATTAAAACAGCTGAAGAAATTACAGATGGGAGCAGGAGAAAAAAAAAAAAAAGAAACAGATTTTCCAAGCCATTTCAATTTACTRTAACCAGCTTGTTTCCTACTGGTTTCCTAATGGATCTTTTATGCAGGATTACAACGGCTTTGTTCTGCTTCTTCATGTGCTGTTTATGTTACCCAGAAATACTCCTTATTAGACTGATTAGGTCATCCCCAACACTCATATCATGCTTTTCTTGTAAGAACAGAGAACATTTTCAAACACTATGAAGAGCTGAAAGGGTCAMTGGTCTTCATCTCAAACCATTTCCTGTTGTGACCATGGATGTGCCCCAGGGCTACACWCGAATAACAGACTGGAGCTCAGATAAACAGCTCATGTGATGTCTGGAACTTGCAGATGCACCACCAGGGAGTTCAAAGCAACCATTGGCAAATATTTCCTCTGAGGAACTCAATTAGTCTCCTCAATTATTAGGAGACACACATGCTCTGGCTGGCAATGATCTAAAACTGTTATTTTCCGATAGACATTAAAAGAGAAACACAGGACATTTTAAAAGGCACACAATGGMCCTCTTGTGGCCCAAATAATCAAGTAAATTATGCTCATGATTTTTCAGAATAAAATAAATCTCTAAAGACAAACAATCAAAAAACATTTTTCCATAAATGTTAAGTCTGAAGGGCAAGATCCAAATTCCCAATGAATTCCCTGCATTCTCACAAATAGTCTGAATCCAGAGGAACCCTCAGAAAATGTGTTCCTAATTCTGAATAAATTGCAGAATCTGTCCTTGAATCTAACTCTTAAACCCTCACAAAAAAAATTCTCAAGTGTTCAGTGTCAGCACACCACCAGATTTTTTTTTTTTTGTTTCACTCAGTTTCACATAAGATTAGCAGAAATGCTCTTTTCAATGTCTTAAACCATGTTATTTATGTAGGGCAGTAAAACTTTTTTTTTTTGCAATTATCAGCTAAATTTAGATTCATCATTTGTTCTCTYAAAGAATGTTCAAACCTCGCAACTACATTTCAAAAGACTGACTACTGTGTCACAGCTGAATGAGGATATAGTAAAGCTTGGGACTTTTAATTTAAAAATTTTAAAAAAATAATTCACAAGGACTCAACAAATGGTATATTTGCTTTTTTTTTTTTTCCAGGATAACTATAAAATGAGTTTCAAAGCACTGAAAATGCACTAAAATATTACTCACAATTAATGGATCTCGTCCCATTCTAATGACAGTTTTGTTCACTGTGCGTAGTAACTGCACCATTATTTCTTGAATGTGGTGATGAGTGGAAGCCTGCAAATGAAAAAAAAAAAACAGAGTTTTGATATTAAAATCATATCTCTTTTAAAAGTAAGAAGAAACCAATTATTTCCATTTTGACAGTTCAAGTTGTGTAACAGCCCTACTGAAAAAGCAGCACTAATTCTTCTTGCTCACATTGCTCCTGAGTTCCAGCAATTTCCGTGGAATACTTGTGTCAAGTGGCACAGTCCAATTTCAGCCCRATCTACTCCACAACTGGTTTTTGTTTCAAGCAGTTTTTTGTTTCCCATCTCTCACTCAAGAGGCTTGGTGCACCCCCTGAGTAGTCTGTAACTTAACCTTGGTACAGTTAATTGGGGCAAACTCTGTCACAGCTCCCCAGATCTGTCAGTGCTCCCAGGGCAGGCTGGAACTCAGCAATATCCTTAGCTGGCAGTCACAAAGTACAGAGCCATTAAAGGAGAAAGTTGTCCTTCTTTACTCCAGCAGCTCTGAGATGGTCAGTCCAAGTACTGCTCTTGTTGCCTGAAGGAGAACATTTGATTGTTTATTTTAAACCTCTGAGCAAATGGGAATAACCTTATGTTCACTGACCTTACCCTTGACCACTAGACAATTTGTGAAAGTAGCATGCAACAAGAAAGAAAAAGTCTAAAATTCCTAGTAGAAAAGACTATTTAGCTTACACCTTATTTAATATCAGACATTGTATGGAAAAAACAGCACAGTCACAAAACCATGGCATGGTCTTGATAATGTTTTAGGTATCTGAGCTCCAATACCATCCCAGGAGAAACTGTTTCTAGTTCWGTTTTTCCTCTGAGACATCCAACATTTTCTCTTCTTTTTCTTTCTACTATCCTAATTGCTCTCTATCAGGCCACACATCCTAACAGGGTCCTTCCTCATATCTAGCAATTTATTTGCTATTATCATTCAGTCCTATTGTATCCTTCAGTTATGACACAAACAGGCTTAAATTTCCTCACCCGTCACAGCAGTTCAGAAGTTGTTTTATTCTATAAGTGAGCAATGTATTCACAAAATAATTTGTTTGTGTTTGGTGTTTTCTTATTTAAATTACACTTTCTCTGGCACTTTCTATGTTTATAAGAAGACTACACTTGAGAGTGACWGTATAGAAGACAAACTTGTTGGTTTTATAATGTTGTTTACCACTATAATTTAAAAAAAAAAATCAGCAGCCAAAGCTTATAAACTGTGTGGTAGCATTCAGCACAGGGAAATAATTTGTTCATTAGTTTCCTTTTTTTTTTCAGATTCAAAGATGAGGGCTTATACAATGTATATGTCACTTCCAAATTTCAGTATGTGCTACACCATAATTAGTAACTGTTCAGAGCATTGCATAATGAGTTTTAACATTTAGCCTCGACTCCATCATTAAGGATGAGCTCTATTCTTAATTCACAAGTAGCACATAACAAACCTCTCCTGGAAAGACTGTTACATATGTTCAAGCAGGCAAAGGTTATTTTCTGCTAGACCTTGGAATTTTCAGAGAAACATTAGCAAATGAAATAAARTGGTTTCTTTATGAAACTGAGACTCCCTTTCTTCTTGATAATCTAAGAAACAATTAGGCATTCAATATTGACATTGCTAAATTAACAAATTTTTTTTTCAACACATTGTCAACACATGAGTTTTTATTCTATCTTACAGCTTCTAGCTTCAGCAGATAGCCTAACAACCCACTGCAACGTGCTTTTTTAGATGTTTCTCTTCATAAGGATGACATGGCAAAACCCACCATCATTTGGCTTCAGTCCATTGATTAAGCATAAGATTTTTTTCAGGAGCTAAAATAACTACTTGTACCATATATAAATGTTCCCTTGGAAAACATGAATTGTATTATTCCACTTAATTAAATGTGGTGATCAAAAATGTATGTTTGTCTCCCCTGTTGAAAAGATYGGAACAATCAGAGTTCATGCTCCCTACATAGGTCAGCAGGAAGGAGCTCTCTCACGGGACTCAAACACCTTCAGGTCCATTGTTGGGATGGATGGCACATATTGGTTTACAGATTAGTTAATAGAAAACCCAAACCAAATAAAATTTCACTCCCTTTTAACAATATCTGCACAGGATACAAAGCAGATATTGTTCGKTTTAGCTTTCATCTTCTATTTAAACTGCTACAGCATTGGGAGAGAAAAAGTAAATCTGTTGTTTCAGAGCCAACCCTGTGCTTCAGATTCTGATGGAGTGTTCATTTATTTGGACACTGACAAACAGGGACTCACTGAATGGCTTCTTGGGAATTGCAACGTTACATAACCTGTACTTGAGATATTCACTTGGAAACACTCCTGTGTCAATTCTTTTCAGCTGTCCCTGCTGTGTCCCCTCCCAAAGTCTTGCCCAGCTCTACCTTCACTAATGCATTGTACTCAGTGAGAAACAGAGGAGGCCTTGGCACCGTTCAGCAAGAAGTAAAACTTTCCTTGCTGCATTATCAACACTGTTTTGGTCACAAATCTAAAACATGGCACTGTATGGGCACCCACGGAAGAAATGAACTCTGCACCAGCCACATCCTGTGTGATCACTCTCTGGTGCCCCCAGTTCTGTAACTTGTATTCCCTCTTTGACATACATACAAATAAAGGTACAAATACAACGTTAATATTTTTGTTTTAAACCATAGTTCATAATCATGAATTGTTCTGGCTGAAAATTCTCCACAGAAGACGTGGAGGTAACTGGCCCTGAAAGAACATGCAGATTTCTCGACTACATTCCTCTGAAATTCTCTTTTGCTAAAGCCTTAAGATCTGCCATAAGTTAGGCAAATGCCTTARGAATTTCTTTACAGTTCTAAAATGCTTCCAGGCTTGTTTGCTAGTTTGCTAAACAGCTTAAAATGCAACTGCTGCCAATTACTGACAATGCATGGAACAGGAAAAGGTTCTTCATCTTTCTTGCACTAATAGTGTCAATCAAGATTTAACTGTAGATTCCAGGAGAAAGCATTTACCATTACTTTTGTAAGCACTATAAATAAAAATYTGTTCAGATTCAGTAAATATTAAAATATGGCTCATGTATCAAATTAGAGACAAAGTCACCTCAGGAAGGATTGTCAGATTGCATGGAAAAAAAAGTGTTGTAGAGAGGGAAAAGGGAAGTTTTTTTAATTAAAACAGAAACAAATATTCACTGATTTCACCATGACCGTCATCAATTACTTACTTGCAGTTCTGAGATTTAACTGTATTTCACAGGTGCTTGAAGCACAGTCTCAAGCTACAAAGCTAATTTTAGACATGATTAAGGCAAAACAATGCCATTTATGTCAAAAACTTGTTTGCTGGAGAGGAAACTTAAAATCAAACATAAGCATCTCACTGAGATGCCCAACAGTGACTGTCTAGTCATAAAAATAAACACACAAACACTACACAAAACAGTGTTTTTATCAGCACACTGGCTACCTGCAGAACCCAGCAGTGAGGCAGCAGCTGAAGAAAACAGCATTTGAACACAAGGATTGGATGATTCCCATGTTCCAACTCACTAAACAATGTGAGGCAAAACAGCAGAGCAGAGCTGGTARTATCAAAATATATTTTCCTTTGACAAAGAAAATGCATTCTTCAAAAATTCTGTAACRACTTCAAAGATCACCTCACAGTATAAATTTTCACCACACAAAACAGAATAACTACTGCTGTTTTTTCTTCCCTGTCCTTTGTGTCTATTCTATTTCTGGTGATTTTCACAGAATAAATGCAATGCAAAAACATCAAAGTTAAGTTTCCAAAAAGTTTTGAATACTAGTCTGAAACCAGGTTTCTCTGCTGAAATGGAAAAAAAGTCTAGAAGAAATAGTGACAAGACATTGGTGTTATTAATATGGGGATGTGATTCTGCTACTAAAGCCTTAAGTTTTCTCCTCCAGCAGGTCAAACCATCCATTTTCTTAGAAAGTGGCTAGGAGGTACAGGGAATGAACTGCAGAATAAAAGCCTGCATTCATCTTAAGGTTCAAGTGTAATCCCAGCTGGAATAATTTGGTTAATGACCAAACCAATTGTCTGTGTCTGGATCACACTGAGTAAAGACATTCTGAAGGACACTGCCACAGCAGTCACCAGGCCATATGTGAATCCTTTYCTTTTGCCTACAGGTTACCAAGTATTCACTGCTGCAAGACAAATAGAAGAAACAAATCTGCGAAAGAAGATTTCTCCTTTAGCTGGAAAATAAAGGTGTGTTACCCTCCAGAGAAATCTGTACTGGCATTTAAAGACAAATGACTGTGTGATCCTTGGATACTGCTGTGTTCCCTTCCTTTGCTCCTTTTTCCTCCCTCAGATAAGTCATCTAAAAAGCAGTACTGAAACAGGATCAGTGTTTAGTTAAAAAATGAGTTCTTAAACCATGGATTCTCTGTCAAGGGAAGGAAAAACTACGAGTGATGGCCACACATTTGCTGTTGTGGTTACAAAACCCTTATTACAGTTGATGACATATGCTTAGTATATTCCAAAATCCATATTTTCTCTGACCAGCAGTTGCATTGCCAGAGGCAGGCCAGGGTATGGAATTTTTACAGCAGAAGCATCTGGTTCTTTGGTTGACACCCCAACTATTCTACAAATTTTCTTGGACTCAGGAATATAATTCCTCTAAAGGCCTCAGGATATTCTGATACYACAGCTGGATTTAAAGCTACCCCAAGGGGCTTTTCTCCTTATTTCAGAAATCCATTAGTATTCACTGCAAGCACAATGTGTAGATAACTGTGACCTCAACATCTTGCAGACAATCTCCWGTTTACCTTCTTTGAAAGAAACTGTTGAAAAAAAAGCCACTTCTTTCAAACAAATGTCAATTAATTTTTTTAATGCATATATTTTAAATTYTCAGCAATTCTTCTGCTGTTCTGCATAATGTTCTCACTCATACAATGATGAGCTACAAAGCCATATTTTCAGCARGTCTTAATGAGGCTTAGGCATGTCAGCTACTGCTACGATGGACAGCAACTGGTAAATTCAAAATAAACTCCATTTATGCAGTACACACAGAGAAAATATTATTCCAATTGCTTTACAATTGTGTTTTACCTTTTAAAGAATACAGTAACAGAACTGGTTGCCTTACATTACAGCCTTATGAGATGATAACTTCAGTTTTTATCCTATCATGCTTTCACCATTTCTCTTAAGAATTGCATTTCAAATTCAAATGTTCCAATACCTCTTTGGTATCCCCCTGGATCAATCCCTCCTGAACTGCTTTTGTCTAACACAATGAGGAAAACAGCTCATGATACACACGAAAAGATTGCCCTGTGAAACAGATAAGCCTCTTCAGTACCAAACTCAAAGATTTTTATGAAATCAAGAAATATGCTGTAAAGATTTCATTTACTAGGAAATGATCCAAGGACCCACAACAAAAAGCTCCTAAAATAAAAACTTGCCTTAATCCAAAGTCTGCAAAGTTTGTACACAACCATCAGAAAACTATAGTTGAGGAGAAATAACCACTTATTCACAGGAGAAATGACAGTTTTTCCCAATGTAATTTATTATGAGGTTTTCTCAGAATAAATTCCTCAAATTAATGAGAAGTTCCATRGAATAACCTACTGCTAGGTTAAAAGTGAGGGACTGAAAAGTCAATTTGATACTCTCAAATGAGAAGGAAGAACCACCTAGATGACAATTTTAGTGTTCCACAATTTTAGGAGTTTGAGGAAGAAACTACAGTCTCCAAGTGAAATAAAGAGTAAAATCTATTTTAACCAGACATTGCTGAAAGTGAAACAGTGAAAAGCATTTGTTTCAGAAACTGCAGGGATTTTTATGAAAGAAGCAAGATGAAATTTGAAATTTATTCTGARTAATTAAAATAATTCTAGAATAATTWAAAATTAGGRTTGGAAGGGACCTTGAAAGGTCATGCAGACCAACCCCCTGCAATGAGCAGAGTCACACTCAACTGGATCAGGTTACTCAGATGTCAGTGTTCACCTTTAACAACTCAACTGCCCTTTACTTTAAGTTTATGAAAAATAGGAGAAAAGTTCAATTTGCCATTGACTTGTATTAAATATTTGAAAGAGATTAGTCATCATCAATAATTTAGTACCTAATCAGCTCAGGCTTTCTACAGACTTGGCCCTCTACATCATCATCACTACTTACAGGGTCTTGACAGCTCAGAACCTCCAGGATACTGTTAAGTAATTCAACACAGTACTTCCTCTCCTGGACCTGGAGCTGCTGATCCTCCTTCTGTTCCAGTAATTCCCTCAGCTCTTTTGTAATCACAGGAAGCAGAATGTCCCTGCATTCTGAAAGAAAGCAAATTACYTTAACAACAAATAAAAATCAAACACTATGTGCAAATAAACCCTCCTCCAAACAGTGAAACACAGTATGGTTTAACAGCCACAGTCCCWACGTGGAACTGTTGATTTTCCAATCATGCCTCAGGAATATTCCAAACTTGTGTGGTATTTTCATAAGTCAACAGTATTTTCATAATGWAAACCACAAGTTCCTGATAAAAACAATTTGTTTCGGTTTAATTCTGAAGGCTTTTTAGCTTATATCAAGAACTTGTGGACAAATTACTCACTTACATACAAAACATATGGCAATTAATRAAGTAATGATAGGGTTTTAATGTAAGAAAATTACTATTCTTATTATTTCAGAAAATTAGACTCGAACAGCAGAACAGAACTGTTCTATGAGCATCAGTTTGAAACATATCTTCTAAAGGCACATAAAAGGATGTAGACAAAGCAAAGACTAATGAAAGGCCTATCATGCTTGTGATAGTGAGAGCTGTGCGTTCATCCTTATTTAAATTTAAGGGAGCAGACACAAATATGAAGTTACATTCCAATCTCACACATTGACCTTTTAAGAGAGAGGTGATTATAGGAAATGTCAGGAGTACAAAATASACAAATTTGAGAAAGTTTTAATGCGAGTAATGTTTATCTAGGAATAAAAAAATATAATTTATTTTTTAAAGAATGATTTAGAGCACCTGGACACAGTGCACTCCCTTATTAACAAGTGYAGTGTGAGACATGGTGAAACTGTATCCAGTGTGATTTAAAACAGGCCAGGGGCTCAGAATCCTCCCAAAATAAGGGTGCTAGTACAGGAAGACAGGAGGGAAAGGGAGGGAGGGAGGGAAGG